GGGTTCAGCAGTTATGTGGACAAATTTGCAAAGAGTTCTCATTATTTTGTTTTAGAAATTGACAATCTGTCGTCTCATGTGACGATTTTTATCTTCAAATTTAGAGTTTATTATTTGATTATTTTCATACATGTGCAGACGAGTTCGGTGTTAAAGCACAAATGGAGGTGAAGAATTTAATTGAAATTTTTTATTTGAAAAATTGTATTAAACACTTGTTAACGATTTTTTTTGTTTTTAATCTTATTTTTATCTTCATATTAAACGTCAAAGAATGTGTATAAAATTGTAATTTTATACAAGTTCTGTTATAAACACCAAATATGCAACTCTGTATTCAGGAAATCTGAATTGCAATTATTGAATGGAAACCAAACTGGCTTTTATAAAGCCTTACAAGAGGAATGAAATCTGAAATGACAATTCACGTTTACATTTCCTATTAACGTGGTAACAGTTGCAATTATAAACCACTATCCTAATAGTTAGGAATTGTTATCAAGCTTAAACGTATACTAACCAAATCTTCCCCTAAACTGAATTGCATGCTGCAATCGGTTTACACTCGGTATCACGCACACCCCAAGCACATCTCTCAGCTTTAAGAACACTTCCAATTTCAAAGTCTTGGTCATGATATCAGCAGCTTGATCCTGTGTATTGCAATACACTAGCTCCATAACTCCATCTTTTGTAAGATCACGTAGAAAATGAAATCTCACATGGATTGCTGGGTTTTTGAGAGCTTAATGGTCGAACTGTTATCACAGTAAATTGTAGTGTACTGACCTTGAAAATGACCAAATTTTTCAAGAATTCTCTTCATCCGCACTCCTTGACATGCACATGAAGCTGCAGCAATAAATTCTGCCTCTGTAGCAGATAGTGTCACTACATGATAGAACTCCTGTTCCAAACATAAAAGATGTACCCAAAGATGTTCTTCCTATCATTGCATAATCACTGTCAGCAAAAGCTATTAAACTTTGTTTTCCTTCCTTCTTGTATGCAATTCCAAACTTTGTTCATCCACATAAAGACTTACAATTATAATCCTATCGCCATCACTAGACTTCACAAACAGTGTGTGCTCACAGTAGCACTTCTCAAAACCTTCCTTGATAAAGTAAGCCACAATCTTACTATACCAAGCTTGAGGGGCTTGCTTGAGCACATATAATGCTTTCTTTAATTTGTAAACTTCAAGCTCTTCACCTTTATTTTGAAAACCTAGAGGTTGATCAACAAACAGTTTCACTCAGTTATCCATGTAAAAGAAGCATTTTTACATCTAATTGATAAACACCAATTTTTTTTTATCTGCACGTACGAGAATCAATATGATTGTGTCCCGCTCCCGCCGAGGTACAGGAGCAAACACTTTAGTATAATCAATGCCATGTTGCTGAGAATAACCCATTGCTACAAGTCGTGCCTTAAATATATCCACATCAACATTCTCATTGAGTTTGATTTTTAATACCCACTTCACCCTTATTTTCTTTGCTCCTGCCAGTAAAGTTGTCAATTCCCACGAATCATTTTTTTTCAATTGTCTCTATCTCTAGTTACATGGCTTCCCTCCATTTTGAGTGCCTATTTTATTTGCTTCTACAAATGAAGCAGGGTCTTCTATTGAACTGAACATCACAAAAGTATGCATTACCTAGCCATTTACATGATCTTTTGGGTTCCTCCTTGGATTTGGACTTGGTGATAATCTTCTAATGCTTCATTGGACAAAGATGAATCGTTGTTCTCTGTTTGTCTGGAACATGAACATGAACAAAACATCCAAACACTCTAAAATGTCAACAACAGGTTTGATACCACTCCATGCCTCTTCCGGTGTAACATTTTTCACTGCTAAGATAGGACTTCGATTCAGCACATGCATGGTGCACAACTTTGATGGATTTTTCATCAGTCTGAAAACCATTGCTTGTTGCCACACGTGGTTGCTGCACCCCAAGTCAAGGCACCACATATTATCTGTTGTTGAATTCCTTGTCTCTTCATATGACATTAATTACATATTTTCTTCATCAAACTCAGCATAATTAGCTAACTAGGAATTATTATCCATAAGCATGACCCAGGGGTCATAACATGACCATCAAATCTAGAGATTGTCAATAATAAATCATTATCCTAATTCCTAACAACCAGGAATTATTACCAAACTTAGACGAATGCTAACAACTTCTCTATCTTTATAATATATAATATAATAATAACAGAATAGTTTCACGTCTTATCAACTCTTCTTTGGTAAAAAAAAAATCAACACTATCAACTTGTCAGTGTGTGAATTTTTACAGAAATATATATATATATATATATATATATATATATATAT